AATAATGAATTCCGCACGGGATCTCGAGTTTTTCATGTGTCATGTTACCCTGTGTTACCTTACGAAAAAACGGGAAATGTCCTAAGTTAGGTCCAAAATCTTCTGGAACAGAAGGAGATCATCCGTGCATACTAAGCCAGTCCTATACTGCTGGCAACTCATTCTTCTTGTATTTATAGTCACAATCTATTATTCTCCAATTCAAGGCAGGGCGAATCCATTTCTCAAAGTCAGCAGTTTCAGTAATAGACAGAGCATCGAAAAACGAGGGGCGCAGCAACCGAAATGTACATGTACTTCCGTACATACACATCGATTCAGGAAAAAAATGGAGAAAATACTGCGGTTTTAAAATTACCATTCATACATTCTGAAACTTTTAATTATATGAAATGGATGTGTATCACGCTATTTTTGCATCGACTATTTGCATAATAAATTGAAAAAGTAAATCCCACGGGCGGATTTAATGGTAAAGATTAAATAAATGCTAAACTAAGAAAGAATGGGTGGCAAGAAGATGTGTCCCTGGACGTTTGAATTTCAATTTGCTCTCGGGAAGATTGTGGAAACAAAACGGGTTTGTTTTTTAATAGTGAAACAAATTTGATTGATTTTTGCTAAACAGAAAGTATCAAAGATGGAACCAATTTAAGAAAATAAAATCAAAGGGCCTTTAAGGGTTGAAATATATTTATATCCGATACTATCAAACTCTGATTAAAACCATACAACCTGATCATGCCAACCTAGTGTATCGGTAGACTTAAAGGCTCATTATACCTAAGAAACAAATAACTTTTTACTACTTTAGAAAGGGCAAACACGAATTGTATATTGTTTAAATAATGGGTTTAGAGCATGTTAGATGCTTGTTACCTGAGGAAAGTAGCGAAAAATGTGAAATAATTTGTTATAAAAGTAGTAAAATGTAAACAAATAGTGTTTTGGCTACTATACAAAATATTACCTCACTATACTGCCAAAAGGAAAAGATTGTTCAGGTAATTGGCCTATGGTAACACGTTGGGTACTATTAAAGTACAACAAATTTAAAAAAGCTTTTGAGGAATAAAAATAGCATTTCTGAGGCTTAATAGGCCTTTACAACTTTTTTTTTACTTCAGAGTATTTTATCTTAAGTTAATGGTCACTTTAGGGGATATCAAGATAAAAAACCTTTAAGTTGTTCAGCCAACAATTTAGAGCCTGGTCAGACTACATGGAGGTGCAGACTGGCGTGGCTCTAAACTTGTCACATTTAATTTACTCAGTCAGCTCTTGCGATATACATATAAAAGACCATATAACAATGTATAAATACAAATTTCTTAACACTGGAAACAAGCATTATCGTTGTTCCTGTGTACCCAAAGAGCATTCCGAAAATAAGCTCGAAAATAATTGGCGTATCATGAAAATTGGCTCAACACTGACTAATATATTTAACGCATTATGCGTACAGAGCATAAGGGTGATTGTGGGTAAATTGTACAGAGTATTAGGGTACTAGTACAGCGGATGAGGGTAATAGCACAGCGGATGAGGGTAATAGTACAGCGGATGAGGGTAACAGAACAGCGGATGAGGGTAATAGCACAGCGGATGAGGGTAATAGCACAGCGGATGAGGGTAATAGTACAGCGGATGAGGGTAATAGAACAGCGGAAGAGGATAACAGAACAGCGGAAGGGAGATACATAACAGCTGATGTATCCCCCTTAATGTTCACACAAAAGATTCTTTTTCAAAATATAATAAGTTGACTCAGAATTAAGTGTTTTTTTATTAAATTTATTCCTAGGCATTCAGTCAAAAGTATAAAAGTAAAACCTTAACGTTAATGCTCATTTTGCCAGTGAACGTTCAATATAAGAAAATGGCGTTTAGCTAATGTCCTAGAATATATTCCGGTCAAAAGATGAATTGTGTATTGAAACTACTTATTGCGCGATTATTCTTTAATAACCGGATAAATGTTTTCGTTTATATCGATGCGTGTGTTACGCCTACACAGAGTCGTCCATATTTTCATGTTTATTTTTAGAAAATTGGACAATATATTCAGTGATATATTATTAATATATGGCAAACGCGCTATAAACAAGCAATATTCAGCATCAGTGTATTATATTGACATGTAACAACATTATTTATTAATAATTATGACACCACTACAAGCTAACAATAAAGAATACAATGATGCCCCTACATTGTTACAATATAACACAGGAATTAATTCTGTTTCCCAACTTCCTATTGTCTGATAGCGCTCGTGTCCTATCCATTAAACCCTCTCCCATGACGACAGGAATTTTGATGTAATATATCAAAAAATAGTTATTCCCCATTATTATTTTCTGGTTTGTTTTATCACGTTTCCTGTGTATTGTTCCATTACCTATGGCTTGATAATATCCATGTCTATATACATGTATTTTGTCTGCAAGTTAAAGGCACATTATGCCTCTGAAACATATTAGTTTCTTCCTTTTTTAGAAACGGGCAAAAATGAGTTTTGTAACGTATACTATAATATAATGGTATAAGAGCATGTTAGATTCTTATCAAAATAAAACTAATTAACACAACATGACATTAACTCCTAATAATAACAGCTCCTTCCATAGGCCAAAATAAAAAGCATTCCATAAGAGACGACGCCGCTCACCGGCGTCGCCAATGATCACTTGAAGAGCGTAGCGCTGAATGTGATGTTGTTCGTCATAAAAGTACGAGCAAAATGTCAACATAGTAGTATTGTATCTTCCATACAAATTGCAAAATAACCATATGCCAAGAAAGCAGCACAAACAAAAGATAGTTCAGGTATTTGGCCAATGAGTAACTTTTTGGAAACCATATCAAAAGACCAAAATTAAAAGCCTTTGAGAAATATAAAAATAATTTTGGGGCATAATGGGACTTTATTTATAAAGAAGTGTCGCGACGCAGTTTGTATTTCTGTCCAGTATTTAGTATTTAGTAGAATAAGAAATGTTAAATTAGTGATATAGAATTTTATTTAATTTTACCCATGAAATATGGTGCTATATCAGTCAAATATATTTCATATTTTTTAAAAATAAATATGAGTTATAAATATGAAAGTGGGCGGAGTCAAAACTCATATTTATTTCAAGGGACTTCTTTCGCCATTTTGTTTGAAAAATCTGATAAATACAAAACAACTTTTTTTTGAATTTTTTTTTTTGAGAAAACTATTCTGAATGATAGAAAATGTCTAACTTAAAGGAAAATAAATGAATATAAACAATATCTTTTTTAATTAACGCAGAAAGACGTTTATAACGAAATATTTACATGGTCACTATGATACGAAAACAGTTAGCATGAATTGATGTGTGTACAAAAGCAGTTGTAGAAGCAAGGGTTCTTACCATTTGCTAATAAATAAATTTAAAAAAAAAGAGTTTAGTTCAGGTATTTGGCAATGATAATTTTTGACCATATCAAAGAAAATAAAATGCCTTAGAATATTTATTCATCTCGCCGTACTGGCTCTTAAAAAAAGTGTGGCCATTTTATTCATGTTTCGTGATTTTAGGATTTACTAAGAAAAAATTATCTCTTAATAATTATTGGAAATATCATCGTTTAGGTTTAAATTGGTCAACTTCAATTGATACAAAATACATGTTACGCATTGTATGAAAGCTGAATTTTGAGATGGAAATAATTTAATCATTGAATTAACCAGATAAATATGATAGCATATCAATGCAATTAATTTCATAGGGTGGAGATACCTTTTTCTTTAAATTTCTTTTGATCAAAGAGTTATAGATATAGCTTCTTATCCTGTGAAATGTTCTCTGATAAAAGAATGGAAAAGTGCAATGGGTGTGCATGAGAGGACCGTGTGTTTTTTCTTGCTAATAGATTGTATATAATTTCTTAAAGTACAGTACAGCAGTGAACGGGTGTAAATATTTAGAATGACAATGTGTATTGTTAACGTTTTCTATTGTATGATAAAAAAATGTTAAACCGCATGATGCTTAGATATAAGATTACCTTATGTTACACCGTTTACACATTTTGTTTCTCACACAACTACTGCTGATTTCCATTATAACAAATGGGGTAAAATAAAAAAGGGACATAACTCTATCTATTTAATTACTCACGTGTAAATGTTATGATAATATACTGTAGTTCCACATACGTTAATTTCTCTCACAAAACACAACACTTACCGTCAAATTGTATGAACGATACCTATACATTTTATATTGTTCTTTGGGATAGAATGTGTTAATAGCATAGGGATAAAGCGATAATTAACAACTTCAATTCATTTTTCCTCTCTTTCTCTGAAGTAAACTAAAAAGCCACATACTGTCCTCATTCACAACAAATTCAAATAATAAGTCCACATTACCTATATATATTTGTAATACGGGGAAGTCAAATGACCGGGCCCGCGAAGCGGGTCCGGGCTTTGGCTTGCCCGGCTATAGACTAAACGTGAATATTTAAAAGAAAATCAAATAAAAAACAATTAAAAAATATATAGAATTCTATATCTATCAATGAAATTTTCAGTGTCAGTTCTAGTCGGGAGCCGCCATTTACAATGTATGTCAATGATAAAAGGCGGGGTATTCCGATAACGGAACAAATCTCAACTTTTCGGATTAGTAATAATCGTCGAGTGTTCCGAGTGAAAACGGAAGCGGTGTATGTAATATCGAATGACACCTTTAAAACGGAAAGAATGAAAGGATTTTTTAACGACTTCCCCGTTCATAGGCTTTGCCTAATCTTATATTAATTTTATTTGTTAATCATATTCAATAAAGAAGTTTCGTTGTACATGTACCATACCACACGTCTGTGACAATTTGTATTTGCATTCCTTAATTAAAACAGTATGTTCGATAACCCGTTACCTACGGATCAATCTCTAAGTGTTTATATTTCTCCACTATGTTTATATTTTGTTCCACGTCAGACGGTACCGTGAAACTTATCTACCGTAAGAATCGCAACGAGTTTACATGTTACCAGACTGGCACCTGGGCGATTGGTATTTTTTTCTTCTTATTCTGTTAACACAGGCAGCCAGTCAGTTTTTGTTTCCGTAAATTAAATGGATAATTGGTTAGAAGTATTTTTGCATGGAATGTGAAATATAGAAAAATATATGTGAATTCAGTGAAATTTGTTTCTCGGATTGGAATATTTGTTGGAATATACAAATGTAGAACTTATTCACTGATGAAAAAAAATATTTCTACAGAAGTAAAAAAATCAAATTGGATAATATAGCGATATTTCTTTTAATATTATTTTGATGAAATAGGATTATTAACATCAAAACATTTACTGTAATTTATATCAATTTTATGATATTAACACCGGTTGGATTTTTAAACAAAACTTGAAGAAAAAAAAAAGAATAATAATTGTTTCAGGATTAATTGATAAATATGACGAAAGTTTGAAAAAGAAATCACATTACAAGAAATCGCATTACACGAAGCGCAAAAAACGTAAAAGAAGGTTGGAAATGGGTTGGCTTTTATCATAAATTGAAGGTAATTGATTGATATTGTTTGTGTCTGCAAAATGCAAAATGTTATAATGATGAAACATGTAAAACCACTTGATGCTTAGATATATATTGATAAAATTACCTATATTACACTGTTCAGACGTTTTGGTTCTCTTTTTTTTACCAAAATAACAAATGGGGTAAAATAAAAAAGGGACATAACATTTTATATTTAATTGATTTTGAGTGCGTGAGAGATGCATGATAAAATTAGATGTCCCTGGTCACATGGTTAAATTCTTTTCGTCAAAAGCTAATCATGGGTTTCTTCTGATGTCTCAGCCAATAAAATACTTCTCATCAAAGAACAATAGATCAAATTTGATTTGTATATATATTGTTCGTTGCTTTATAAGGCATTTATAAAAACGCAAAGCATGCTTTTTTATTCTGTATTTTTTTTAATTGAAAAGGTTTTGATAAAGTGGGAAGGTATATCATAAGGTATTCATATCCATAAAACGTCTAATAAACTAACGACGTTTTTATATCGACACTTTTCGCATGTTTCAATATCTCACTTAAAAGAAAATATTAGCCTTTCACCATGGGGGAGTTACACACCTCATAAATAAGGTATAAATATAGGCACGCGATTCTGCCATTATTTATTTCTGCTAATGAATGAAAGCATGTATTTAATGATGGTTTTAAACCAACTTCATAAACTTCGCAGGAAAAAATATAAAATATAGTGTAAGGTCGATACTACTCCAGCGTACAATAACAAAAAGTGATGACGTCATTATTTTATGTGAACAATTATCAACGCGTCCCAACATGAATTTTGGTCATAAAATGCAAGTTATTGATATCAACGATATTAAAATACATAACAATAATATATTTAATAATTTATATTCTGACTTCATTCATTCTCATGTTCCGATGTCATTTATGGGATAAAAATGACGCCAGGATAAAGACGTTGACGTCATAATAATGATGTCAGCATAATAACATTAATTCCATATTCTTGAAATGCCACTTCATTCAAAAGTATGCAATAGTTTTAGTTTTTCCTTGATTTCCACTTTGATATTATTCCTGGAAACCGAATAAGTCATGAAACTTATATGACATCAATCATGAAACTTATATGATTCCAATTATGAAACTTATATGATTCCAATCATGAAACTTATATGATTCCAGTCATGAAACGTATATGATTTCAATCATGAAACTTATATGGTTCCAGTCATGAAACGTATATGATTCCAGTCATGAAACTTATATGATTTCAATCATGAAACTTATATGATTCCAGTCATGAAATGTATATGATTCCAATCATGAAACTTATATGATTCCAGTCATGAAACGTATATGATTTCAATCATGAAACTTATATGATTCCAATTATGAAACTTATATGATTCCAATCATGAAACTTATATGATTCCAGTCATGAAACGTATATGATTTCAATCATGAAACTTATATGATTCCAGTCATGAAACTTATATGATTCCAATCATGAAACTTATATGATTCCAGTCATGAAACTTATATGATTTCAATCATGAAACTTATATGATTCCAGTCATGAAACGTATACGATTTCAATCATGAAACTTATATGATTCCAGTCATGAAACTTATATGATTCCAGTCATGAAACGTATATGATTTCAATCATGAAACTTATATGATTCCAGTCATGAAACGTATATGATTTCAATCATGAAACTTCATGTGATATCTAGAGACCTCAACAGAATAGCAACAAATAAAATAAAGCAAATCATTCTATTTTGCTCATTATATGTAATAAAATCTAACATTCATTTGACAGAGTAGAAATGAATCTAGTCTACCTTAAACCTTATTTGATCTTTTTAGTTGGTTTTATCTGACTTATTTATTTATTTAATATTTATTTATTTAAAGCTAGCATATAAAATATCGATGTATTTCTACTATCATTACTACACGTTTGTAACGTCGCTTTTCATTTGATAATCGTGACATTTATAAACTATATATACACGGCTGCTGTCAATTTATGAAATAATTTCATTTTTCCACAAATAAATGAGGTATGAGGTATAATAAATTTGTTATAACGGTTCTTGTGTCTCGGGTTATATCTGTAAATAACCGTTTATATATGGCCATATAACCTGTCAAAAATCTTTATAACTAATAATATATATGCTATATCTTTCACATTAGATCCTATATATATACCATAACTGTGAGACTACAATATTTCATCAGACAGAATATAAGTATCTGTGACCTATAACAATGGAAATATTGTTATTTATAATCATCATTCAATCTATGAGTATGTGATATTGTAAATATCTCATCGATATTTTATCGTCCCCCCCCCCCAAAAAAAAAAACAAAAACAAAACAACAATAGGTATTCTCTTTAACATAATCAAGTAGGCTTGAATACAAACAAAGCATGTTGTCTTTTCTGAACTTTTTTTAGGTGATATATTGAAAAGTATCACATAGATTACCCGTGCCGCTTAAATTGCGACTCATATCAATTGCACGGTGTGCATATAATTTGACGTGACGTCATCAGACGTCTCTATAAGCTCGTCAATGAGCGAGTCTGTTATACTGTTTTGGGTATGTCATAAATAGAATATGATATTAATGTAGCTTCATTAAATTTACTTCATTTATATTGAACTCGTTGAATAGAATAATTTAAATATGAATTTTTCAACTTGTTCAATAAAGTCAGCATTGAACCTACACTCTTTCGGTATCTTCTATAATTATCATATATAAGTTATATCACACAGATTGAAAATGGGTGAGATATAGATTTTGATTTTCACTTCGATATTACCTAGAACAAATAAAGGATTCATGACGATTTTCATGACGTCACAAATACGTCATATAAACTGGCGTCATTTTACACTAACCTTGGTAACGCATATTTAAGCTGCTTCAAAAAAATAGCAACAAAACGGATATGACGTAACATTTCATGTACAGTATAGAAAAGAAAATCGTAAATAACGCATGTAATCATACTAAACTAATAAAACAAATTGTTAACACGATTACCAGGCTGCCTTCTGGTGTTATAATGTTTACTAAATGACACGTTTTTGTCATTCAATTAGCATGTTACGCTTTTTTGTTCTCATATTATATGCAAATATACTCACTGTATTATGCTAGATGATTAATTTCATCAATAATGTAGACAAATGTTACATAAAGATGTTGTCTGGAGAACGAGAAGGAATGCCTTTAATCTACATATCTTGGTGTGTTTTTTTGTACCTATTTTATTGTATGCGCCACTTACTGAGTGATGCACTGGATTGCTGTGTATTGTTTGTTGTACTTTTGTGCAAAATACTTATTTTTTCTTTTCAATTCAGACAAATTGCAGAATATTTATTATTTTTTTAGGTTCCGACCCCTTTTCATATTTAACGTGTACTTTTTTATACCGCCATTTTGCAACTATAGATATAAAATGAAATAAATCAGATCAGAAACAGAATTTGTGACAATTCTTGCAGCTTTTCTTCTTCTTTTTATCTTTTTTCCCGCTCTATATATAAATCACAAGAATAAAAACATATATTTATAGTAAATTATATTCCTCTACCTCCGTGAATATCTGTATATACACTGATACACTGTGTACCCAGCTTTGTAAGCCATTCCAAGATGTTAATTTGTTCCAACAAACTAGTAAAGAAATCTTTTAATAAATCAGCTGATATCAAGTAAAAATAATCTTGTTTATTTGCATGTCTTACAAATGTTCTGGCACCAGAATAAAGAAGCCTCTCCCCTCAACAAGTAGAAGTCAATTTGTATAATTAATAGGTCGCATCTGATCATGTTAAAACAAATACTCCTTTTTCCTGTACAGCAAAAAAATCGTGTTCTTCAATAATTAAAACAAGCTGCACTGGTGTAGACGATGTTGTTTGAGTTTTTCCTTTAATTTCAATTTTCGGCAAATGCACATTATGTTTTATTTTATATACAGGAAGGCAGCTCTGTTTTAAGAACTTAATACAAATTGTAAAGGATATTTCATTCATACGAAAACTTTATATACAAGTATATATCAATATTCAAGCCAAGCAAACAATATAGCGATCGATTTATTAACCAATTAATAATTAGGATAACTGAAATTCATTATCTTTTACAATCATCAATAGGGCCCATTGTAATTAAAAGTATTGCATCTTGCTAAAATAAGTTCAATTATACTTGCAACATTTACCATTTTATACTGTTCAAGCACATCATGTCTATATTCCCTTTGCGTTATTCGCGTGACTTCGACCAGAATTAATTAGACCTTAAATGTTGAAAAATGATACAAAATAAACAAATCGAAACATGCTTATTCAATTTCATTCTGTGGAATCGAAGTAATGGGGTCTTATGTTTCAATATATCGGAATAGACCTGGTAGATCAGACAATTGGAGTGCAATATGTTACATGTAACCCCATACAAATGTTGATTGTTTAAAATGAAACAAATAAATAAACGATGGAGTCCGGGGAAAAGATGAAAACATCACACATAAGAGACAAGGTGCGTCTGTATTTCAAGTATATTATTTAAAAGATTTTTACACTGCAGAGAATTGAAACAATTTTTTGTTATACTTCAGGACAAAAAGATTTATTTTGCTAATGATCAAAGAAATACGTTTTGCAAAATTTTGAAAAATTAATTGGTAATTGTACGTTTAAGCTTTTTTGGAAAAATTATTGTGAATTAAAATTTTGAGGTCCTCATTTACTATAAAAGATTCTACAATCTATGCAAAATACTGCTGATTATAAGTGTAGTTATTTAGGTTCGTTACCACTATTGATATTTTTAATCTGTCGTAACTATTGTCGAGTTTGGGCTTAAGACCATCATTATATCATTAACCGAACAGTATAGATAGTTTGGCTCGAGACCACTATTAATATTGTCATCATGGACGAACACATATAAATTTAGACTCTATCATCA